TCCCTCCCTCCCTCCCTCCCCATGGAACTTATCCATCAAAAGCGACCTTTTCCGCCCAGCCGAGTAACAGAAACCTGCTCCACCGCCTCGTCTGCTTCTCTTCAGGAGCACAGCCACGGGACGTCTGTGAATGGCGCATGGGGCTGTCTGGCTCAATGCCTCGCACGGCCTCAAATGCACCCTTCGCCTTTGAAGGTTGCCGTCACCCCAGAGGCATTCTTTCTGCTTCCATTTCATTCTTTTTTTTTCTCTCTCTCTCTCTTTTTTTTTTGGGGGGGGAGGGTGGGTGGGGGGTGGTAGACGTGAACCTCGAGTCTTTTTTTTTTGGAGGGAGGGGGAGGGGTGGTGGTAGACGTGAACCCCGAGTCTTTCTTATCTATTACTCTTGCTTTTACTGTTGTTGGGGATGTTTTGTACGTCGGGTACGCTTTTTTTTTTTTTTTTTTTTTTTTTTTTTTTTTTTTTTACGTTTCTCATTGAAGAGGTTGGGAAGGGGGGGGGGATAATAAAATATGAATTAATTTCCTTGCTTTTCATGTTCAGAGGATAAAGAGCCTTCTCCACGTTCATTTCTACCCCGAGTTTATTATCAACGGCCCTTCCACGAATCGGCAGTCGTTGTAGAGGAAGTAGAAAACGATCTCCTTCTCTTCTCTCTTCGTACGAGGTCGAGACTTAACGAACAGAGATCGGAGCGGCTGACAGAAACCACAGAAACCCATCGGAGTGTTTCTCTCTCTCTCTCTCTCTCTCCTCTCTCTCTCTCTCTCTCTCTCTCTCTCTCTCTCTCTCTCTCTCTCTCATCTCTCTCTCTCTCTCTCTCTCTCTCTCTCTCTCTCTTTCTTCTTCGTCTAATCTTTGCAGAACAGAGATCGGAGCGGCTGACAGAAACCACAGAAACCCATCGAGTCTTATCTTTGCAGAACAGAATCGAGACAGAACCACAGAAACCCATCAGTGTTCTCTCTCTCTCTCTCTCTCTTTATCTCTCTCGCTCTCTCTCTCTCTCTTTTTCTTTCTTCTTTGTCTTATCTTTACGTCGCGAACACTCCTTTCCACTCTCCATGGCAGAGGACGTAGAGTAAAAATGCTGATTTGTTTGACAACTCAGATTTGGGTTTGGGTGTGGGTATATAGCAGCGAGGATAACAGACGCTGAACTAAATATAAGTTGAGGCTACACATATATGTTGGGGCTACATAGGATGTCTGTTGAGTCTACACATATATATAGGACTACAGACTATGTACGTTGAGTCTACACATATATAGGACTACAGATATGTACGTTGAGTCTACACATATATGTTGGGGCTACATAGGATGTACGTTGAGTCTACACATATATGTTGGACTACATAAGATGTACTTCGAGGCTACATGACATATGCATTGAGTCAGCATGATATATGTGTTGAGGCTACATTCGTTAATGCCATATAACACATATCCCAAAAGCAACATACCATTTACACTAATGCTAACATGCTAACGAGGCTAGAGAACACAAGCATTGAGGCTACATAACACATATATCAAAAGCAACATACCATTTACACTGAGGCTAACATACTAACGAGGCTATAGAACACATGCATTGAGACTACATAACACATATACCAAAAGTCAACATACCATTTACACTGAGATTAACATCAAACAACACATGCATTGAGACTACATAACACATATATCAAAAGTCAACATACCATTTACACTGAGATTAACATCATAACGAAGCTATAGAACACATGCATTGAGGCTACATAACACATATACCAAAAGTCAACATACCATTTACACTGAGATTAACATCATAACGAAGAGAACACATGCATTGAGGCTACATAACAAGAACACCGAGGCTACTCAACATATGCATCGAGGCTACATAACATATGCGTTGGCAAGCACTGAGTACTTTCACTTTTCTTTGAGGGAAAGATGGGCTTTTGAGGCCGAGTTCCGGTTTTCATCTTTGGTCATTTACTTATTCTCTTTTCGTGGCTTCTTGAAAGTGATGTGGAGGAAGAGGAGGAGAAGAAGGAAGATGAAAAAGGGAGGGGTAAGGAGGGAAGGGAAGAGGAGGGGTAGGAGGAAGGAAAGAAGGAGAGGAGGAGGGGTAAGGAGGGTAAGGAGGAGGAAGAGAAGGAGAGGAGGAGGAGGAGGAGGAGGGGTAAGGAGGAAGGAAGAAGGAGAGGAGGAGGAGGGGTAAGGAGGAAGGAAGAAGGAGAGGAGGAGGAGGGGTAAGGAGGGAAGGAAGAAGGAGAAGAGGAGGAGGGGTAAGGAGGGAAGGAAGAAGAGAGGAGAAGGAGGAGGAGGGAAGAGAAGAGAAGAAGAGAATAATAATAATAAGGAGGAGGAGGGGAGAGAGGAGGAGGAGGAGGAGGAAGAGAAGAATAAGAATAAGAGGAGGAAGGAGAGAGAGGAAGAGAGGAGAAGGAAGAAGAGGAGAGTATAGAAGAAAAGGAGGAGGAGGGAAAGAAAGAGAAGGAGGAAGAAGAGCGGAAAGAAAAGAAAGGGAAGGAGAGGAAGGAGGAGGAAGTAAAGGAAGAGGAGAAGGGAGTAGAAGAAAGGAAAGAGGAGTAGCAGTAGAAAAATGAGAAAGAGAAGGGGAGGAATAGGGAGAAGAGGAAATGGAAAAGGAGAAGGAGAAGAAAAAGGGAAGGAAAAGGAGGAGAGGTGGAGCAGGAATAGGAGGAAGAGGAGGAAAAGGAAGAAAAGGAGAGTATAGAAGAAAACGAGGAAGAGGGGAGGGAAGAGAGGAAAGAAAAGAAGGGGTAGAAGAAAGGGAGGAGGAGGAAGATTAGAAAAATGAGAAAGAAGAGGGGAGGGAGAGGGAAAAGAGGAATGGAGAAAGAGGAAGAGAAGAGACGGGGGAGGAGAATGAGGAGAAAGGGAGAGGAGTAGGAGTAGGAGGAGGAGTGATGTTCAGAGCTCTGGAGGAAAAGTTTTAATCCTTCTTTCTCTCCCTTTTCTCTTCTTTCTTCTTTTTCAACTTTGCTTCTTCCTTCTTTTCTTTTATTCCTCTCTCTCTCCATTTTCTCTTTTCTTCTTTCTTTACCTTTTCCGTTCGCTTCTTTCTCCCTTTTGTTTTTTTTCTTTCTCTCTTCTTTTTTCTTCTTTCATCTTTGCTTCTTCCTTCTTTTCTTTTTTCTCACAGTTTTCTCTTTTCTTCTTTCTTTGCCTTTTCCATTTGCTTCTTTCTCATTTTCTTCTTTCGCTCCTTTTTCTCTTTCTTCTTTCTTTCTTCTGTCTCTTTTGTTTCTCTGTTTGTCTGCCATTACCTGTTTACGTGTCTACCTGGATGATGCACTGTCTGTCTACTTGTCTATCTGAAGGTGGTATGGTCTACCTGTCAAGCTTAAGGTACTGGTATTGCAACCTAAAGATCTTCGCTTCGCACCCGGCTTGGCTAACCCAGTCCATTCATCTGTCTCTGAGTACCGGCATCAGCTACTGGGGTTAAATTCAGGCTGGAAAGGGACTCTACTCCATCACTCCACGGCTTACAATGCATGATATGTTATGTCTCTATCTGTCTCTCTCTTTCTTTCTCTCTCTCTCTATCTCTGTCTGTCTCTCTCTCTCTCTCTCTCTCTCTCTCTCTCTCTCTCTCTCTCTCTCTCTCTCTCTCTCTCTCTCTCTCTCTCTCTCTCTCTCTCTCTCTCTCTCTCTACGGACATGTTCCCTGCATTTGCGTGAGACTAACTTTGACTAGATTTGATTTATATCTTCATCCATCTGTCTCGCTGTGTATCTGACTATGCATTTATCAATTCATCCATTTAAAGTAATAGTCTATTCTACAATATCCCTTTTCTACAAACAAAGAATCCCATTTCAAAACCGGATATTCCCGTGTCTTGCCAGCTTGCCAAAATCGCCCCGGGACGATATCTCAAAAATAAGCATTCGTACTTCGAGAGACTTTACATATTGCAGAGGTAAAGAAAATATAACATGCACTTCGCGAATTCGCCCGCAACCCTTTTATGTTTTACTCCCTCGTCACAGGCAAGCGATTTCTGCAGTATAATTCGCGGAAATAGGGCGCGGGGATGTATAGCCAGAGCCACGCGTCGGGGTTTGGCGTTATGGCCGAGCATGGGATTGGAGGAAGTGCTTTTGTCCGTGTGTATTAAATTCGAAAACGTCCCTCGTGTTCCCTGACGAATTGTAATGCACTGTACTTTCCTCACCCTGTACTTTCCTGCCTGTATCCTGCACTTTCCTGGGAGACAAGGCCACTGTACTTTCCTTGTCCTTTTTGTTGTCGTTGCAGGCAAGACGGCACGTACTTTCCTCATTGTATTCCTGGATGGAGACAAGGCACTGTACTTTCCTGGGAGACAAGGCTGTACTGTAGAGGGAGAAAGGCACACTTTTCGTAACTGTACTGTCCCTTACTGTAACTTTCCTGGGGAGACAGTGCTGGAGGAGGCAGTACTTTCCTTTACTTTCCTGGGAGACAGGCACTGTACTTTCCTCCAGTGTGCACTGTACTTTCCTAAGGCAGTGTACTTTCCAGAGACAAGGCACTTTCCTGGGAGACGTACTTTCCTGGGAGACAAGGCACTGTAGTCCTGCTGAGACTGTACTTTCCTTGTGGCACTGTACTTTCCTGGGAGACAAGGCACACTGCACTGTACTTTCCTGGGAGACAAGGGCAACTGTACTTTCCTGGGAGCAAGGCACTGTACTTTCCTGGGAGACAAGGCACTGTACTTTCCTGGGAGACAAGGTACTTTCCTGGGAGACGAGGCACTGTACTTCCTGGGAGGCGAGTGTTCGGGTATGGTGCGGGTGTGTGGTCGTTGGGGGGGGGGGGGGGAGGGAGAGTAGAGAGGTTGGTAAGGAGAGACTAATGTAAACAGATGTGGTTATAGAAGCATAGGTTAACATAGATATGGTGAAGACTCCCTGTCTCCTTTTCTTTTATCTCTCTCTCTCTCTCTGTCTATCTATCTGTCTTTCTCTTTCTTTCTCTCTCTCTCTCTCTCTCTCTCTCTCTCTCTCTCTCTCTCTCACTCACTTTCCCTCCCTCCCTCCTGCTCCCTCCCTCCCTCTCCCTCTCCCCCCCCTCCCCCCCCCTCCCTCCCCCCCCCCTCCCTCCCTCCCCTAACCCCTCTCCCTCCCCCCCCTCCCCCCTAACCCTCCCCTCCCCCCCTCCCCCCCCTCTCCCCCCCTCACTCCCCCCCACTCCCCCCACTCCCTCCCCTTCCTCCCCCCAATCCCCCCCACCCACATCACAACCCGCCAGCCCACTCCTCATCCCCGGCGCCCACGACCCACCTCGCCCATCCTAGCAGCGGGCAGACGGACCAGAACAGCGCCCACACCCAAATGAAGGCGATCATCTGGTAGTAGCGGCGGTAGGTCAGCTTTCCTCCTGCAGAAGGAAAGGGAGAGTCAGCCTCGTTCAGGAGTTGGATGAGTGAATAAAGAGGAATGGGTAAAGATGAATGGAAAAAGGGAAATGGATAAAGATAAATGAATAAAGGGGAATGGATAAAGGGGAATGAATAAAGAGGAATGGATAAAGATAATGAATAAAGATGAATGAATAAAGAAATGATAAAGAGGAATGAATAAAGATAAATGAAAAAAAGAATGAGTAAAGATGAATGAATAAAGATAAATGAATAAAGAGGAATGGATAAAGATGAATGAATAAAGATAAATGAAAAAAGATGAATGAATAATGAATAAAGATGAATGAGTAAAGATGAATGAATAGATATAAATGAATAAAGATAAATTAATAAAGATGAATGAATAAAGATAAACGAATAAAGATGAATGAATAAAGATAAATGAATAAAGATGAATGAATAAAGATAATAATAATGTCAACAATAAAAGCGAGAGGAACAGCATTAAGGATTTGGGTGAATGAATAAAGATGCAATGATGATAATATCAACAATAAAAGGAAAAGAAATAACTAAAATAAGAGTAACAAAATGAAGAGCAACGGATAAAAGAATAACAACAAACAGCAAACACAAGAATAACAACAATGATAATAATAATAAAAAAGTAACAATGATACCTGGAAAATTGTGAAAGATAAAAACAAGTAATAAAGATTGGTGGAAGAAGGGAGGAAGAAAGAAAATAAAAAATAGCGCAACTGTATAACAGTATCATATTTTGCTCTTGAAGTGAATAATCTAGATTGACATTTGATTAGGACTATAACGGATGAAGGGAGGATAGGGGGGGGGGGGGGGTGATAGGTCTAAATAGATTTGAAACGGCCTGTAAAGTAAAAAAATAATTAATTAATTAATTAATTAAATAAAAAGATAAATAAATAAATGAAATATATAAAATATAAATAAATAAAATAGATCTGAATTTTAGACGAATCTATAAATAAAGGATAACAGTAATATTTTGGAAGAAAAGTGAGTGATGATAGTTCAAAATCTATATCCATTTTTAAATATATTTAATAAATAAACTAACAAATAAATAAATGTACCATAGCCGACATGATAAGGAAAATAAATAACAAAAATACACAACACACAATTCTCCCAAAATACGTATCCAAATAAATACCACAAATCCGAAAACAGAAAATCCAAGAAAATACAAGATAAAGCAGAGAGGAAAACATCGATAATATATAAAGTAATATGTGAACTTACCCCACGTGTACTCTTTTAGCATGAAAGTAAAAAGGAAAATAGATTGGTTAGTTTCTCTTATCTTTCCGAAAATATGAAGGCAACGAAAATCCTGTGAAATAAGAACTTGGGCGAGTTTTTGTACAGAGGAAATATAATGGAAAAGAGTGTGAGATACGGAGGCTATATATATATATATATATATATATTATATATATATATATATATATATATATATATATATATATATATATATATATATATATATATATATATATATATATAAAACGGGTTGTTTAGTTGTCTCGTCAATGTTCCTGCGGGCTTACAGGATTTGCGATAACGAATTCATCGATCGTGAGCTTGACGTTATTTTTGAGACATTTTCAAAATTAGGATATCCGCGTTTTTTTCTTAAATCAGGCACATTCATCCGCGAAATGGAAATTCTATAATCATTCCCGTAACACGCAACAGGACAGTGCCAAAAAATCTCTTAATTATTCCTCACAACCCGTCTCTCTCGATGAAAAACGCCGTGTGTTTACAGGAGCTGGCATTGACATCGTTTTAATTACCCGAACGCGCTGCGCAATACTTTGATTAGGCATAATATAACTAGCAGTGCTATTGATGCCTCTCCCGGTATTTACACGATTCCTTGCAAGGATTGCCCGAAATTTTACATTGGCGACACCGGCAGAACTTTTGAAAAAAGAATTAATGAGCATAGACGTGATGTCAGATACGCCAGAGAATCTAATGCTTGTTTTATTCATTTACGTGACGAAGGACATGAGGTAAATTGGAAAGACGCAAAATTAATTCATAGATCGTCAAATTCATACGAAAGAAAAATAATTGAAGCCTTTTTAATTAGGAAAATGCCTAATTTTAATTTGAGTGCTGGCCCTGAGATCTGATTCAGATCTTGTTTCATTCTGTCTGTCTATCACTATATAAGCTTGTCAGAATTCTCTCCTGGTATCCATTTCGGTTTTTGTCTGAAGAGAATCTCGTGAAGAGTTCGAAACGTCACACTTATTTTCAATTCTCATTGTGGCTAGTTTCATTTTCATATATATCTATATGTATATATATACATATAATATATTATATATATATATATATATATATATATATATATATATATATATATATATATATGTATATATATATATATATATATATATATATATATATATATATATATATATATATATATATATATATATATATATATATATATATATATATATATATATATATATATATATAGTATATATATATATATATATATATATATATATATATATATATATATATACATATATATATATATATATATATATATATATATATATATATATATATATATATATATATATATATATATATATATATATATATATATATATATATATATATATATATATATATATATAATATATATATATTTATAATATATAACACACATACACACATAATAATAATCATGATAATAATGATAATAACGATGGTAATAATGATAACGAAAATAAGGACATGAAAAAAAAACAAAAAACATTTCTCCCCCATCCTCGTCCTCGTCTCTTGCCTCATCTCCCACTTCCATCCTCATCCTCCTCCTCTCCTCATCCTCGGAAACTTTGTACTTGGTATCATTTCCTTACGAGGAGGGAGGGGAGGGGGAGGGGGAAGGGAGAGGGGGGAGGGAGGGAGAGGGGAGGGGGGAGGGGGAGGGGGGAGGGGAAGGGGAGGAGTACTAAGTAAACCGGCGCTTCGGACATAATGCTCAAAGTTTAGGCTAAGTATTGCGCCGACTCGTGGATATAGCCTTATCTTAACTTAATTTGGGTTATCTGTACTTGAAGCTAAGTTTCCTTAACTTTTCATTTCCTGAAAAATCTGCAATTCATTCGGTAGAAATTCGTTGAAATTGGAAATCTAAAGAAACTCTCCTTTTTGCTTTTTTTTTTGTTTTTGTTTTTTTACTTGTTTCTTTATTCCACTGACTCTCATCTCTCTCTATCTCGTTTTCTCTTGCATTCATTCACTCCTCTCTCTCTCTCTCTCTCTCTCCTATTTTCCTTATCTATTTCTTCTCTCTCTTCCTCTCTCCCTCTCTCTCTCTCCTCTCTCTCTCTCTCCTCTCTCTCTCTCTCTCTCTCTCTCTCTCTCTCTCTCTCTCTCTCTCTCCTCCTCTCTCCTCTCTCTCTCTCTTCTCTCTCTCTCTCTCTCTCTTCTCTCTACTCTCTTTCTCTCCTCCTCTCTCTGACCTCCCTCTCTCTCCCTGAAATATTTCTTTATTAGGCAATAAAATTCCGAAAATTGAGTGGCTCAACTTTTGGAATTTCAAGTCACTAGTTCAGGGTTACGTACTTACTACAAATTATGCAATTAATTCAGTACTTATAAAACTTTACTAGAATTTAGCAATAAGAGAGAGCAGTTATTTTCAACGAAAAATACTTTGCATGCTTTTGTAACCCAATGTTGTACTAAGTTTGAATTAGGATATTATGTGAGAGTTCACGCGGGAATATGAAGTAAAAATGGCGGGAAACGGTGGAATTTTGAATTTGAGGATCTGCTGGTATTACAGTGGCCTTTAAATGTAACGTTCATTTCAATATGACAGTTACATGTGTGCATATACACACGCATGAAAAAGCAGTATTATACTTTAGCATAGATATACACACACGCGCGTAAGAATCACCCCCCTCACACACACACACACATACACACTCAAACACATACACATACACGCATAAATCACCCCTCGTAATTACATACACACATACAACGCACATAAAAAACACAACACACACACGAACACTCTAACAAACACACGAACACCCTAAAAACACACATACAAACACACACACACACGAACACCCCTAACAACACACACACACACACAACAAGAACACCCTAACAAAACACAACAACAAACACATACACACACGAACAACCCCAACACAAACACACACAAAACACATACACACACACGAACACCCTAACAAACACACACAAAACACATACACACACAGAACATCTTCTAGACAAACGCACAAAACAACACACACGACACACTAACCCAACCGCACACAAAACACACACACACACACGAACACCTAACATAAACATTCACACAAACACATCCACAACACATCACGAATACCTATACAAAAAACACAAAACACAGACACACACAAACAACAAACAAACACACAAAACACATTACCACACGAACACTCACACGAACACACACAAAACACACACACACAAAAAACACACACACACAAACACCAAACAAACACACACAAAAACACAAACACAGACAACACTCTACACATCACGAAGAACATACAAAAAGTAGCACCAGTATAGATGAATTCACCCAACAAACACAAAACAACACACAAAACACACACACACGTACACGAACACACACACAAACAACACTATACACACACACGAACATTCACATAACAGCACACAACACACACACACACGACACTACACGAACACAACCACACCACCATCCAGCCAGCATCAACATCGCTCCAAATACAGGTTATTTCACCGCCAATCTCACAGAAATTCTCGTGCGTCTTGTTGGCGACTCAGCCGAGCTTCCATCTCAACATCTAAACAAAGAATTCTTCCTCCATGTGTATTTTTCGACCTCCTTTCGCTACTGGGGGAAATAGCGCCAATTTTGCTTTCCGAACGTAAACAGAAAAAA